GTTTTCTTATGTGGAGATTTTTATGTGTCTAAATTATCAAAATAATGGCTTTTAGTCCTGGGATAACTGAAGAGATCACCTTTGGAATACTTGTCCTTTTGTGAACACTTTAGAAAGGCTTTGAATTTTAGCCTGTATCATGGCTATGCTTCATATTTACACCATACAAAAGCATAAAGGCACATTCTAGTTGTAATTCAAAAGTAATTCAGTGCACAGGTAACTAATAGATACTCATCTACATCTTCCAATTGTAGTCATAAATATAGAAGAAGGAACTACAGAAAATCCTCCAAATTCTGTCCAGAACTCCCTTAAGTTACTGTGGTTTCCAGTTTATAGTTCAAACTCGCCTGCATTTCAAGGCAACTCTCAGGGGCTATGTTCAAAAATTACTATTTTTGAAGCATACAAAGGTTTCTTTTTATTAGGAGGCAACTTTCTCAAATACCTGTTTTCAATATAAACACCCTAATGAGATACTGACCTACAGATGTCCTTGACTCTTCTGTACTTTTATGCTTCACAGGGCAAACTGACAGCAGATCTCTCTGATACACAGCCTAAAAATGGGGTTCTTGAGCTGCCAGTATCCACAAGGGTTCTAGAGGCAGTACCTGGGAATTGTGAACAGGATTATTCAGTGGTTTTCTCTCTCTCCTTCCCGTCAGAAGCCTTGGGATGAGTAATTGTTCCTCCAGCCTCAAGTGAAGTGCATGTGTCATTCTGCAGCACTTGGCTGCAGTTACTGAGGGTGTAGGACCATCAGGAGGTCACTGAGGAGTCTGTTTGGCAGTGTTACAGAAACTTGGCGAGGTTCTAGATATTTTTTGTCAGACATTGCTAAGATATTTTTGTCACTTTTAGTTCCTTCTGTGTCTCTCTTTTCGTCATGTTTATTACACTTCTGTAATTGCATATCTTACTGGTTTTGTAAAACACAGGTCAAAATGCTCAACTGGATTTTTATTTAAAATTTGAAACTATTTGATCTAGAAGTGTCTTGGTTTCAGGAGTGAATAGCTGAGAAATGCAAATGTTGCTTTATAAAAAAGCAACATTTGAGTTATATTTCTTATAGCTCAAGAAGAGCTAATGATAAGAATTAAAATTATGTACTTCTTTTGGAAGTAAAAATAATGTTGCTGGGTGTGCATGGATGTGTTGTTGTATTCTAGTATGAGGAAGAACTGAAAATAAGCAAAATGTGAGAGCAATCAATACAGATAGTTCTATTCCTCCTGCTTTCCGTGTCCTTATTCTTTCAATTCACTTAAATTAGGAAAACTGTTAACATTAAACTATCTCATTTAATGCAGTTTCCATTCATAGCACAGTGTGATTGTAACTGTCAGCGTGCTTTAGATAGCAGTAGAAACTGGACCAGAGATGACCATAAAGCACAAACATCATTGTCAGAGTGATTTTGATAATTTGTCAGAAAGACTGTTTGTAGAAGGTCTCACTTTAATGGCTTTTTAGGCTATTTTGAAGTTGAGGCTCTTTGAGCTTTCTGGAGATTTTTTGGATGTATGCAGTACTCCATAGGATCTGAAACATAGCAAGTATATACTGGTGAATATAATAGAATGGTGAAACATTCTACTGCTGAATAACCCATTCTTTCTGAAGGGGAGTTTTCTTCTCTCAAGTCAGCCCAGCCAGTGAGACACTTGAGTCTCAGCAGAGCAATGGGGTTAACATTATCTTGTGCCTCAGCAAATCTGCAAGGAGGGAAACTGCACCATGTCAGATTTACTTGAGTTGATGGTGACTCATACTTGGGGTGTTTTAAATCGATGGAAAAAAATCGTGGGTTTTTAAAAACTGCCTGAACTCTCTGCATATTGTCAGTCAAAAAAAGTGATGGTTTTAGCAAAACAAAGAGCCCCAAACCCAGGATGTTCCTCTACATAGCAACAGCAACAAAACCAGTTGTGTCCAAAGCAGTGCACAGCCCATGCCAGCTCTAGCAAAGGTGTCTGCATTTGACAGGTGACATGTGACAATGCTCCAGTGGTTGGTCTGTGTACACCACTGAGGCCATCCTTCCATGGTAAGCGATACACACACCCTCTGGAGAAATGCTGCACAAAAAAACATGGTATGAAGCTTTGAAACCAGTGCAAGAAGGAGTAGAGAAAGCTGCTTCATTTCTGTACCTGTGTTGGTTGCATTAGAAGCTCAGGGTAAAGCATCCAGCACCAACATAAAACTGACTGAACACACATATCCTCCAGTCAGAAAGACCAGGAGAAGCTCAGGATGCAATATTTGCAATGTATGCAGAGTGCCAGAGTAAATTATATTCCATCCAACTATTTCAGACTCTGTACTTTCATGTTGCTCTTTTGGGTAAAGATTTTTGCAGAGTGTAGACAGTGAAATCTTGGTGAAGTCAAGAGGCAGAATCTGCATTAACTTCAGTGGAACTGGGACTTCACCTTCAAAGTCCTGGCACCTTCTCTAATTCTACATATGTACTTTCTGGCTTTGAAAAGCCAGCCTTTGTCATCAAAGGGACATCCAGTCCTTCACTTACCTATGCCATATTATACGAGGATGTTGGCTGTCTCTGATGGAAATTTTGAAGTTTTTTTTTTCCAATTGCATGAAACCATACCCTGAAAAAGTGAATTCAAAAAAGTGATGTGAGTAGTTTTGCTAGTAGGAAACTCATCACCTGGCAAAATTTTAGCATCATCAGCTCAATCACACAGATAGCCCCATCTTTCTTAGTCTTAAAAGGAAGTCCATGATGTTTGGTGAAAACAGAAACAAAGTTCAGGCAACAGCTAAATTACACAACACATGTGTTAATTTATTTATTGCTTTTTACTGCTAGTGAGGGAGTACTGCAAGAGGTGACTGCCATTACTGGCTGCATAGTTTCATATTAATTGCAACTATGAATATATGATCAGTTGTCATATGGAAAAATAAACCTTGCTATCCTGCATCACTGATGATGGAAGATGTTTAGGGCGTTCCTTATTTTGTTTTTACATTTCATTTTTAAGCTCTTTATAAGGTTACTGGAAGTTGCTGTCTAGAGGACATAGTTTATTCAATCATTTAAGGTGAAGGGTCTATACAATAAGCTAAAAGTTGCTTCCTAAAATGTAACTATACATATATAACAGTATAATTACTGTGCAAAATTTTTATGCAGAGTGTCATGTCTTAGAGAGTAAAGCTTGCCTGCAAGCAAATGTTTCCATATGAAATGTCTATTTCTGTGAAAGAATGTCTGTGTCAGAAAAAAATGACAGTTTACGTGATAAATTTTATCAGCTCAGTTTAGTGATATCTCTGCTAGATTCTCACCATGTCAGAGTTTCTCCTTAGCTTCTCTGGCATTTGAACTATTAATTGCCATTATTCATTTATGGGCCAAAAGAAACATAGTGTTTTCTGCCTTGTAAACCACCACGGCATTTTGAACAGAAAAGAGATCTTGTAAACAGGGTGTCCCTCTACTGAGTCTCTAAATGGAGGCTTTTCTTTTTTAATATGTGATTAATTTGTATGTTTTCTTTTGTTTCTGTTTAAATACTGTAATTTTGTGTAATTTTAAAATCCAGTTTAGATTTACAAGCATGTAATATCCTTAATATCTTTTGGATTTGAATTGTTTTCTGTGACTTGCTGCTGAAGAAGGACAAAATCACAACATCTCTATTCTTTGAACAGCACCATTATCACTCTATGTTAATGAAATTATTTCAGTATTACAAGAAATGAAGTTTTGGAATTCAGTCAGTATTACAGGGAATTGGATTGTAACTAGAGCATATTTCAAAAAGAATAAAAGGATCCATGATATGTGCTTAGCTCGTAAAGCACCTAATCCTATATTAATTGTGCTTTGGGCAAATCTGTCCTCATCTGAAGGGGACTTTGACAGTGAAGATGAAAATATTGTAAAGCTTTTTAAGGGCAAACAGCTCCTCCCACAGGATGGCAGTGAAAGAGGAGTTCCACGGGCTGTTCTCCCTTCCCTTCCCTGTCCCAAGCACACACAAAAGCAAACAATGTACTGTCCCTTATGAACTGCAAGAGACTTGGCCTCATGTTACCACATGTTCTTCTGGCTCTTGGGATTGAGTTTGTGCTTTTTCCCCATGTTTGGACAGGAAAAGATCATAGAATATGATCACAATCTGAATATGAGTAAGTTTTGTGTTTTCTCCGTGTCTGTTGTGCTACAGACAGGAAATGTGAGAATGTCCATTCCAGCCCGGACTGTGATACAGAAAGGACCTGGTTTATAGGAGGGAGAGCTCTGCTGCCTTGTCTGGAGAGGAGGGTGAACAGCACAGTCAGATGCAAATCAGGGTTAGGGGATATTTAGTTCAGCTTCCAGCAGAAGGTTTCTGTGAGGTGGTAAAAAGGAGAGGATTTCTGCTGAAATTATTTTCAAGAGCTTTTGCCAGTCTGGCCAGCTCCTTCCTCTGTGAAAGGCTGGTTGGACTTCACTTTTCCTGAATCTACATGACATAGACTGAGGGCAGCAGGATTGAAAAGAAGGATCATGGATGTGATTGTGTGCCTGAAATGCAGCAATGCAGTGATTTTCTCAATTCCACTTTGTCTCCAAAGTGGAGTTTGGCCAGCTTTACCAGTTTCAGCATATTAACTGTTACCATCCTGTTTGTTCTGTAGTCAGATGAACTCTCTTGCCAACAGTAATTTCCCTTTTGGTGTCGAGCTGTAAGGAAAGCAATTGCCATTTGAGGTCACTGAGCTGCACTTGAGCTCCTCTTCTCTGCTGCAGAGTTGTTTAATGGCTTTGTGGAAATCACCTGCAGCTCTGCAGGGCTGCTGAGATGTGCAGGTGAGGCAATTGGAGTGTTCAGCTGAGCAGAAATAGGCAGAGAGCCTCGTTGGGCAGCTGGGGATTTACACCAACACAGCTGTACTCAAGCAGGACCTGTTTTTCTTCCTGTCTTGGGGTGATTTTGCATAAATCAATAATTACCACCTTTGTTTCTTTGCAGCCTGTTCCAGCACTACTGCTACACTCGAGGTGGCATGCGCCACACCTCCTACACTTGCATCTGTGGCAGGTAAGAGGATGATTTACACTGAACTGTGTAAGCTTTATAGTCAGCTTCCCCTGGATATTTGTAAAATCAGTCCTTTTAGGCATGTCATGTTTGCAAATGCCACCAGAGTGAGTTCTGACCTGTTTGCACTGGAAAAGACAAAGAGAGGTAGGTGGCTACCTCTGTCTCCTGAAGACATAACTTGGTAATAGACTTCTGCACTCCAGAGGTTCCCCAGTGACTGCTCAGCTGCTGCCACCAAGATCGTGTTTATGCTCACCCCTGTGCTGCAGTTGGCTTTTTTTGTTAAATAGCACCATGGAGAAGGGCTTTACAGCTACTCTCTATTTATTGCTCAAAAATACTCTTTGAAATACGCCTTAAGTATTTCTTATCATTCTCAAAATTCTTTGTCTCAAAGATTAGGATGCAATTAAACTAATCTCTTTGGAATTCGGTATTTTTTGCCCTCTCTGCTTCTTGCTGAACAGCTAGTGTTGAAGGTTACTGTGTTTGGGAAAGTAGTATAAAAGTTCTCCCTGCAGTTGTAGAAATGCACAAGAGAACAGTGTGGGATACATCCTGAAGAACAGCTGTGTGCTTCATGCAGAGATTAATCTTACTTAGTGGAATTAATCTAATCAGAGATGTACAGCAGTGAAATGAGCCATATATGTTGGTATATGTGTTCCACTTGTTCTGCTGCTACTCAGAAACTTTTTCCCTACGCTGAAGTTACACACACTTACAAAAGATAATTTTTATGTTAATGACAATAATTCTATATTGCTTTGAAGGTAATAAGAACAATTAGCACCTTCACTTCTTTCTGCAGTTTACTCAATTGCTTATTTTTAAATGCAATTTTCCAATTTATATGCAAAATTGCAGCAGGATCATGAGCAGTTTTATGGCAAATTGTGTATCTGAATTGTCTGAAAAGTTTCCTGATTTAAGTACCATTGTATAACTTGAGCATTAACATCCCAGTGAAATGAGACTGCATCTCTAAGCTTTTGTCACAGATGGTGATGGTATGATTTTTCACAGCCACGAAGACTTCACATCCACTTACAGTGGATCAGGATCTGGTTTGGGTGCTGGTGGCCAAATCACTTTGTTAAACCTACAGAAATGCCTAGTCAGTGTTTGTGTAGTGGGTTCTTGTGACCTGTAGGAACAGGCTGAACTCCCCACAGGACTGAAAACCCAGGACCTGCATTTCATGTTGTGGGGAACCCCAGAGGAGAAAACTCCAACAGTAGCTCAGGATTGGATGCTGGCAGGAGCTCCCTGGGTGTCCTTCCTGCTCTGCAGGGCATGGAGGTGGAATTAGAGCTGCCTCTGAACTATTGGAGGATTTAAAACACAGAGAAGGGCTGTCCTTGGAATGCCATATCCAAACAACATTATGACTCCCTGTTGTCGCTAGCAGCTGGCATTGTATCCTGCCACTAGAAGTGCAGCCCGTATTTTTATTTAAAAAAAAAATAGTTACATGAAATAGCAATTTGCAGACAAAGGTCTTTGTATTCTATGTTCTGACTGTGAGTGATGAAGGAAGAATGAATAATATTAACAATGTTAAGCTGGCTGCTAATAAATGAATGAATTCAATTAACATAATGATGGCAAAAATAATAGACATTTTTTAATACTGTGAAATTTCCATGCATTGTAAATATTTCACTTAACTACATTTACAGCTAAAAATAGCTTTTGCAATTAGGAATTTTTAATATTTTATTCTATTCATGCTGAATTTTATATTTTCCTGAACACTTAAAATGGGCATATTTTGACAGGATCTTTCTTTTCTAGATTGCAGGCCTGATAATAGTTTCCATAGAAAAGAATAGTACATTTAAATAAAAAACAAGTTTGTTATACAATTTAAAAAATAATACGCTGGTTAAGATGGAAATCAGGAGTAATCAATACAACATTTCAATACAGAAATAAATCACTTGTCATGTGATGGGTGCATTCAGTTATTGCTGTCCCTGTGCAGTGTTATATTCTTGAGGAGATGCTAAATGAATATTTAGCAGAAGTGCTTAATGTGTGACTGTTACTATGAGAATACTAACACACAGTGATGAGTGTGGCAGGGTGTTACCTCTTGAGGTTAGTCATGTAGTCAGTGATACTTTCAAAAGCTGTCAGCTGGGGAGTGGTTTGAATTGCAGACATCACTAAGTGTTATGGAAGGAGAATAGGAGCATTTGCTAAACATACGTGGATATATTTGGCACTCCTCTACAAAGTGCTACTTCCAAGTAGTGTCCAAATGCTGATGAATTATTCACCATTTTTACAAATGGGAAAACAAAGGTAATCCATTCCCAGTGTCCTGGTGCTGCTGGTGTGGATGGCATCCATTGGGAAGCAGGGGCAGAGGTTCCAGCTGGAGTGAGGTGGGGGTGGAGGCACTGGTTTCTCTGGAGCCACCACGGAAGCCACCGTCAGCTGCTGCTTGTTACTCTCTTGTCTTAGGCTCAGGTTCAGATCTTCTTGACTGATATCCCTGGGCAGAGCACAGCTCTCATCAGGTGCTGTCAGTCATCAAGAATAACACTGTGCAGTGGAAGATCTTCTTCTATCTGAGGGTTGCCATAAGTGAAGCTTTTTGGACAAGATTAGGATACTATTGAATCAGCTTTTCTTTCTTTAACTTCAGTACAAGTTTTTTAGATCTCATGCCTTAGACAAAAAATGGCAAGAAGGGTTAATGCTTTCTTCTGGGTTGATTCAGCGATGATTTAAATCATGATGGAAATAGGTTCCAGCTTTAGTCAATGGTCCTTTGTTTTTTCTTTAGATGTCCTTAATACAGAGCTACTAGCTACACTTTTTGTAGTGCTTGATGCTCAGCATAGTCCTGTTCTTAAAATATTGCTGACATTTCTACTCTTTCTTCTAATTATTTGTTTTCAAGGTGCTTTCTGATCTCAAATGCATCTTGGGGGATTGTTTTCCTTTGCTAGTAATCAGAATCTCTTACTGCGTTTTGCATTCTCAGTGGTGTTAATTTGCAGCTCTTCTGCTGCTTTGTGCAATTCTTTCTGTAGCAAGCATGTCTTTGACACCACTTAGAAGCAAGTTATTAAAGGAATAAAAATGGATACACAGGAACCTCTTGGAGGATTTTTCAGGTTGACTGCCTGAAGGTGAGCATTGGCATCTTCATGTGTGGTGATTTTCAGAGGTGCTGGCCAAAAAGAAGGCAGCAAAGCCAGTGATCCTCACTCCCACAGTGCTTCATTGTAAACTGCAGCTTGGCACTCTAATCCTAGACCCTTCAACTGCTGCCTCTTGGAAAAGAAATAAGTAGCTTTTATATGAAGGCTCATTTGCTTTCATTTGCTTGTGTGATAAAGTTCTGGAATGGGCTGCCCATGGAGGTGGTGGAGTCACCATCCCTGGAAGTGTTTAAAACAGACTGGATATGGCACTGGGTGCCAGGGTTTAGTTAAGGTGTTGGGGCTGGGTTGGAATTGATGATCTTGAAGGTCTCTTCCAACCTGGTGAATCTGTGAATTCTGTGCTTTGCCAGTGGCTGAGGCCTTTTGTTCAAATTGTTTTAAAGCCACCTTGAAAGGCTTACTGAATCAGTGTGAAAAATTTCTGGCTAACTGTAACATTTACCTTGTGGGTACACAACATTTCTGTAGCATTGCTCCAGAAGCATTTTCCTGCCTTCATCTCAGGTCGGTGGTAAAGATGCACCCTGCAGGGGAGATTGGATGTGCACCTTTTAGCGAGAACCCACTGGAGGTTTCCATATCACTGCCTTAATTTGGTCAGTAGTGCATGTCTGAGTCAAGCTCTCCCACTCCTCCTCAGCTGCAGGCCCTGCTCAGTGCCAGGGATCAGTCCTTCAGTGCATGTGCTGGTTTTGTTTTGGGTGAAAAGCAGTTGGGGAGCTTTCAAGAGCAGGTCAGCTCTGCCATGGTTGCTAGTGGGTGTTGAGCCCAGGGTATCTGCCCAGAGCCAGCCAGGGGAGCAGATCCTCTCACGCCAATAAATCCCAACAGCCAAACCCCAGAGATGCATATGGTGTGCAGGTCTGGTCTTCAGCACCAACTGTGCTCTCTGTGCTGTGATCCCCTGTGTGTGACAGAGCCAAGATGTGCCTGACAGATCAGGAGCCTCCAATGCCAAGAAAGATTGTGCCTGCTTAACGCTTCACCAACGGTGCTGAAAAACAGATCCTTCACGCGGCTCCCCTCACAGTTGGTGCTGAGCCTAACAGAAATATTTTGTAAACTAAAACCTTTACAATAAAATGTGCAAGAGAAACCCCTCATCTTTGTATTTGCAATGTGTTTTGTTGAAAGCATTTGTGCAGTTGTCAAATTTGAGTATATGACTTATTTATGCATTGGTATGGTATATGTCGCTGAGGGTGCCAGCATATCTTGATAAGTAAACGAGCTGCCTGCAAATACATGAGCATGGAGTCATGCCCTTAAGGTTCATGATAATTTTTTAAAAGTTGATCATAAATATATGCATGTGCTGTTTGCTTCTCCTACTTTATCCTCAGTATTGGAGGGAGATAAGGAATAGTATCTGCAGCTGAAATCCTGACAAACTGCTGTGGAGTATGTATGTGCATGTCAGCTGTTGGTGGCTTTTCATTATTTCTTGTGTTTTTCCTTAAACACCAAACAAAGTCATGCAAGGTCATTCCAGTTCCTTCCACATGCCATCCTCCCAGAATTTTAGCCCTCCACCTGGGAAGCAGTTCCTGAGGCAGAGGTGATGCTGCCTCCCCTCCCCACACCAATAGAGCAGCGCAGGGGCAGGAGCAGTCTGCACCCCTGTCACCCTGCACTCCTGCACCCCTGTCACCTGATGTGAGAGCTCAGATGGGAGCACAGCTCCCACTGCACACAGGGCCTGCCACAGGAGACCTTTTCTTTTGATTGCACTCCATTGCCCTGTTACTGAGTTTTAGTTCAGATAGAGCAAACTAATTTTGAAAGTGTCCTGATGTGGAAAATATTCCAGCAGTGCCCAGGAGACAGAACATCTCAGAAAGAGGTTTATGTCTGTCTTCATCTTGTATATAGGCTTTCTGGGTTCATTTTTAGCTATCTGCACAGCTGCAGAGGTTTTCAAGTCCAGCGTCCAGCAAGGAAAAAGCTTCCATCCAGTTGTGAAACTGTGCTTAAGCCATTGGACCAGCATCACAAAATGAATGTGTTGCAGCCATAGTTCTGTCTTGATTTAACAACTTCTAACTTTTCTAATTTTTCTGTTGGGCATATGTATAATTTTATTAAGTACATTTTGTAACAGAAAATCATCCCCTTGATTCTGAAATATCACTTCTCACTGTTATATAGTGATTCTTATAGGCTAAAAAATAATTAACAATAAATACTTACTGTCTTCAAAATATTAATGTAGAATTATTCAGAACCCTCTGAGATCATCCAGGCCATCCATTAACCCAGCACTGCCAAGCTCACTGCTAAACTGTGTCCCCAGGTGCCACAGCTCCATGTCTTTTTAAATACTTCCAGGGACACAGTCCAGCTCTTTAGATTGAGAGCCTGCAGAAACTTGCTGCTTTCTACTCCATTATAACTGTTTATGAAATTATCTGTATGACTGATGATCTGTTAAATATATAATATCTCAAGCACTTAATGTATCTTGAAAGTAATATCTTTTTGGGTACAGAGCATGCTTACTGTTTTTGTAATTGCACACATCAGAAATCTGAGAAGTATGTCAGATGTCACGTTTACTCCAGACACAACAAAAGATTGATTGAAATTGAGCCTCAGATTCCTGATATCCAAGATACAAAGCTGTTCCAGCTTGAAAGAACTAAATTTGAGCAGGGTGACCAGTGAAAGGTTTTGATTGAAGCTGAGGTACAGAGAGACAAGTGAGCTGGAGGGGTTGGAGAGAAGCTGCAGTAACCCTGTCCCAACATGTGTATTTTTGGATGTGGTGTAATTCTTCCAGCTTTTTGAAGAGAAAAAGTGAGAGCATCTAACTGAAGAGAACAGTAAAAGAAAAATAGGTAGAGCTTGAGATCTTTATCAGCCTTTTAACTGACATTTTATAGACCCAGAGGAATATCAGTAGGCAAGAGAGGATGCCAAGGCCAAATGTAGGTCACCTAGTGGATCATGGAACTTCAGAACAACAGAGCAAGTGTCCATCCTTCTCTGGAGCTGTTTTATTCTTGTGAATCAGCAGTTTACTCTGAAAAGTTTCCAGGAATAAAAATCTTTTCTTTGCAATGTGATTTTTCAACAGCAGGTAAGAAGAGAGTGACAGTTTTCATCCCTGCTCCTGCTGCTGGCATTGTGAGCTGTGAATGTTCCCCAAGCAGTGCATCCCGCCAGCAGAGACCACCTGTGGCCATGCCGGAGGGGAACTGGAGCTGTTCCCTCAGACACTTCAATTCCTCCTGTCCCAGTGATTCCCAGAGTGTTTCAAATGCCACATTTTACTCCAGTGGAAGTTAGCTTGTTTTATGCCTCAGACTACTTAATGAGTGGGTGTAAATTGAAGATTACTTGCACATAATTCTTTCCTTTACACTACCATGGACATAGGAAATATTCATATGAACTGTGCCACGTTCCTTCTGCAGCCAAGTCTTGTCTTACAGACAGAGTAGCAAAATTCCTGTGCCATGCCCATCTCTGCTGCACGAGTGGTGGGGTAGCTACTGCAGCCCACACCAGGGCAGGGATTGTGACAGCTCTCACAGGCTGCTTTTATGTGAATACACTGATGCTTACAGAGTTCCTTCTTATATTGTATCAATGTGTATGTCAGTGTTTCCTCTTCCAATAATTGTGCTAATTTTCTTTTTGCCCATCAGTGGCGAGAACTCGTCTGTTTTGCACTATGGCCATGCTGGAGCCCCCAATGATAAGACTATTGAAGATGGAGATTTATGGTAAGTAAAGGGGATAGAGTTTATTTACAATTTTTGTTTTACTACTGTTTCCCTATAGAAATTGTATGTACTCTTAGAAAAAGGATGACTGCATACTGATAAAAAGTCTAAATCTTTAAAATAGAAGAGAGCTTTGTGTGCCAAATTACTCTGGTTTCTTCCAAAGGTCCTGTACACCTGCATCTCCAGTTGAAAGGGAGAGGGAGAGATTGTTTCAAACACTTCTGAACCAGAGGCACTTAGAATTGAGCTTGAGAAATGCCTGTATTCTAAGTACAAGGGCAGTTGCAAAATTCATCATTAGGGTTTGCTCTTGGACCTCAGATCCAAACCTCAGCTCTGGTGCTGGGGTGGAGAGTGTTGGCTACTTTTAGAGAATTGCATCAAATTGCAGAATGGATTAGATATTGCAAATGCCTTTGTGCACACAGACACCCTGACAAGAAAGTAGAGATTGGAATGGGTGAAGAGATCAAACTCGGTTCAGGTCAGTGAAGGGTTCTTCTAGTTCAGTGTTGTGCCAAAAACTTCCTATGAAGACTTACTTTGAGTTTAGTGATGTGTAATACAGCTGCAAATACCATAAAGTTTTCTCTATGTGTACAACATGTCCACATGCTTTGCAGTATCACTGCAGGTAAAAGCAGAGTGAATGGAAGCACCAAATACATTCCAATAAATTGAAAGATGATTTGTCTATTTGCCTGTCTGATGTGCAGTATATCAGATCATAACTTTCACACTTCACCTCCAAAGACATGGGTCAAAAAGCCTTTGTTTATAAAAATGCAAAACTAGTTTTGGAGAAGTTAACCACTTGCATTCAGTGGAGGAATTGTATTGAATTACCTTTGTAACCTGTGCAGGAGAAGTGTAGGTATGTATTTTCACAGTGGAATGTAAATGTATGAAGAAAAGCAAATTAGTATTATCTTTGAAAAGCTCAAAACCCACTATGGAAAACAAATTGAATCTCAGAAGTTTAAAAATATGCCTTGTTGGCTGAAGTTCCAAGGCTCATCTTCAGGTGATGCACAGTGAACTTATGGAATTACAGATAGATAAATTCTTTATAATACTGTAAAAACTTTTTTAAAAGCTTCTTGTACAATAGTTTATGTATTATCTTCATCTGTGGTTAATAGCTTACTAAACCCATCAAATACTTAATTTAATTTATTGCAGGGCAGTAGTTTTGATTTATGATTATGTTGTGTTTGAGTAGATTCTATGCTATGAGCATTTTTTGATCAGGAAGGACATACCAACATAAAAGTGTATCAGCTGTGTCATTCAATTAAATTTAAAAAAGAAGGTGTGTAGCGCACAGGAAATCTCAGCATGTGCTACTGAGAGAAGATATGCCACAGTGCATTATGATATCTCATATTTAAAACTAAGGTCTTAAACGGTGAGGGAGACCTCAGGGTGAAGGGTATGTGTAGGAATCTTTCACTTACAGTCTCCAAGGACAATCTAGTGGATGGCTGTAGTCCTTCTTAAACCATACAAGATTCTTTGCAAACCCTTCTTTTCTGCAGTACTGGAAAAGTCTTTAAAATATGTTTGGGTTTTATCAGCCTGAGGTATCTCAGGAAACCATAACCCACCAAATACATCAATCACTTCAGGGTTTCAAAACTGCTGAGCAGCACCCCTGCCTCAACAAAGAGAGCAAGGTTTAACAGAGTCTGGAATAACCTCCTGCCAAAACCCTGAGAAGGTGTTTTCAGGTGCAGGTGTGTCCTGCAGCAAAGGCTGCCCCAGAGGCACGAGCTCCTGCCAGGCTCCTGCCCTGCCTTTCCCTGGCTGATACTCACGGAGCAGGCTCTGCTCCACACTGCCTTCTTTGGATTTATCTCAAGGGAGAATAAAACAATAATAAGAAAAAGTGATTTAATTTCTGTAAAGACAATTTAAAAGCACACTCATTTTCCACAGTTAAAAATTGTGTTTCAGAAAAAGTCTTGAGGTGTAGCATGCATGAGCAGCATACAAATTCTGCCAAGGCACTACCTGAGTTGTTTCACTGTGTGACTTTACAAATGCCTAATTTGGGTGTAGAAGGGTGTGTGTGTGCATACAGAGGAGGCATTAAAATGACAGTGCTGATTTGTCTGTGTATATTAGCATTCGTATATTGGCTTTCAATTAAGCTTTTTAATAGTTTTCGGGAGCCCTCTGTTGGATAGTCTTAGGAAGCCCTGAACATGGGGAAAAAATAGACTTTATTTTTGGTAAAAAAAGGGTAAGAGGGGTAAGAGTATTTTAAGGGTTATTTCTGTTTCTGCCAGCATTTTGGCATAACATTAGCTAACTCTTCATAATGAAGAGTTGTATGTAATAGACTTGAAAGATTGGGTATTTGGTGTGATTTTTAATAAATTATTGCATAGAATTTCATGTCTTTTTCTTAACATTACTTACTGGATATGAATAACGTTCATGGGTTTTGCAGAATGTGCAGCTCGGGTTTTTTTTATGTGCAAAGCAGTGCAGTGCAGTAAGTATCATAAATAAGTCAACTAAACATCTGAATATTATAAACAATACATTTGGAAGATTAAAGCTTTGCTTCTGTGAAATGCTTGAGTGCATGCATTATTGGCTTTTTAAAAAGTATAAGTAACAAGGATATAGTTGTTAAAAGAAGATCATAGGCCAAAATACTTGTGCTATTGCATTTTTATATCTTTTTTTTAAGGTTGTTCTGACTTCTTAGTCAAAAGCTCTGGAAGGTTTAGAAAAGCCTGGCTTTATGATGCTTTTTTTAAAAAAAATTAACCTATATCAAGTGGGTTTATTGTTTCTGTAAGAAGCTAGTGTGGAATTGTATCTCTGATAGTACATCATAATCCACACTTTTTATAGGTACAGCTTCTGCACTAAAAGATCTCAGTGCAAAACAAAGGACTATCAAGGGAATTTCTGACACTTCTTTTTAATACACACTGTCTTGCTAAGCAGGGCTATCCTTTTCAATCTGTTAAATATTGAAATAGCTGTCTAACACAAAGCACTGTGATTGACAGAAAAAGCAATCAGTATTTTTAGGGAGGTTTAGGTGCTCAGGATACAGATATTTAGCTGGTATGGATATTGAAATCAAATATTGGAATAGCAGCAAGTCAGTGTTCTGTATAAATGATTCATGTACTACAGCATTCTGTGGTGAACATTGAAATTACCAATTTGCTTTAAAACAAACACTTTCCCTAAGCAGGTGTCTCTTGTGTCTGTGGTCAGAAGGGACATCCAGATAAACAGGTAGGCTGAGTCACCATTGCAGGCACTTGGCAATTTTTACTCAGTATTAACTTTAAATAAAATCTTCTACTTGGAAGGCAGCAAATCACAGCTTGCAGTGATGATGTATGGCCAGGCTGTTCCCAAACACTGATTTTCTTCTGTCATCTTAGAGCTCTGACAGCTTGGATTGGAGCTGAGCCCTGGACTGAGGTTCAGTGCATCCTCTCCAGGTATTATTGCATTACTAACTGGATGCCAAGGCCCCTTTTGTTTCTGTACTGAGGCTGTAACTGCATTTGGTAGTAGGGAAAGTGGAGCCATAAGCTAAAGTACTCATTCTAGTTTGCAATCTCCTGCCTTACACACAAAAGACTTCCAGCATTTTGGAAAACCAAAATGTTTGGTGAGGAGTAGAATGAAATTAAACGCTGCTACTTAAGAAGACAATATCCCAAATAAATTGAAGGAGTAGAGATCAGAGTCCTTTAGGCACAAATCAAGAGCAGATGTGCACCTGGGACTCCTGCTCAGAGAATGGCAGCCCCCACGTGGCTCATTCTTCGGGACAAGTGTCTCATGAGCAGTTGGCTTTTGTTCACACTGCAGAAAGATGTTGGTTCAATGGTCAGAGGGCCCTTGTGGGAGGTGGAAACTCTGGTTTCAGCTCTCCTAAACTGAGCTCTGACTTTGGCTGGAAGTGATGACCTGACCCTGGGAAACAGCATCCAGGACAAGTTCTGTAAGAGCCAGTGTGGTTCTATGGGAAGTGTTGTCTCAAGAAATCAGCATCTGCCATCTGGGACATTTAAGCTTCCTTAAAAACCATGGAAGCAAATTGCCTTGAATCCTTTCTGCCTGCTGCCCTTGCCCTGCCAGTGCTGCAGTGTGGAGTCACACCACGGCTGTGGAGAACACTGAGCATCAAAGCCACCTGCAGCAGAGGAAGGGGCAGGGCAAATGTCCCTGCTGACCTTTGTGATCTGCTGGTTTGTTCTGGAAACCATCAGAGATGTGAACCTGAAGTGTGTATTTTATGCTTTGATTTGAGAAGTCTCTGAGTAAAATTGGAGTTTATTGCATTTGATTTGCAGCCTGGTGGCTCTGGCAGCCTGACTTTGTGGGTTCCTGGCATTGCCACGTGCCAAATACATGGCTGGAGTTGATTGTTCTGTTGCAGTTGATCAGCAGGGCTCCTGCAGTGTTTGGCAGAATTAAAAATGCTTCTGTGATCTTAAAATAAAGGTTGATTCTTCATGGTGAGGCTTACACTTAAATAATAGAAATGTAAGAAAATCAGCCTGATCCCAGATGTAACTGAAATAGATACAGCTGTTACCTGAGCTGCTTTCCTGCAGGTGTCACGAGTTGCAGGTCTTGGTATTTTTATGGCATCTGACACATGTACCTCAGTGAAAATTCAGCACTTCGTAACAACTCTCATAGGCAGGTTCACTGACCTTCAAGCACTTAATGACATTTTTGAGGGTTAGTAGGTCCATTTTGGCTTTGTAAAATAATTGTCTATTCTGCTGAAAAAAAAGAGCATTTTTAATATTTTGAAATATTGTCCTAAGTTACAATGTTGATGAACAGCAGAGCCTGCTGCTCCACACCCCAGGGAGCACGGGCACTCACCTGGGCTTGCCCTGCTGCAGCACTGGCAGCTGCAAGGGGGACACTGGAGCCTGGGCCAGAGTGTAATTTATTGAGGGCTTGGGTGGAAGCATAAATAAGGGGAGTTCAACCAGCAT